CTTCTCAACTAACTATTTCTAGTAATATCACATTCCCCCCACGTCTCACCTGACCAGTCATAACTTCCAATTTGGTATGTCGGGTGTCTGCTTCTTATGAGCTCCCAAGTTGGTATACTTGCAAACACGATCTACTGCAATTTCTCTCTAAGGTATTTTATTTGTGCAATCGTAATTGGTGCAGGTGGTCTAATAGCTTCGTATCTCAAGCCAGGAACTTGCTGCCTAGTTAGATTCACCACATGACAGAGTTGGTATTCCATTGTTGAATTAAAGACTTATCTTGGGTTTGCACCGCTTTAACCGGTTTGCATTCCTTCATGCGCCATCTTTCTTAATGAATACTCTAATCTCCCACTTATCTGCCCAGATACTACTAACCTGTATTTCAAGCCAAGCCCTGCTGCCGCCACAGGTTTACTACCCCCAGGACTTAACGTTCTTTTTCTGATATAGTGGTACTAACTAATCCATTTATACTTCCTCATATGGTATATTACCAGAACCATATTGCATAGTTGCTTTAATGACCTATCTTGTTAAAGACCAGCCTAACACTATGAAATTCCTTAAGTGGCAAGCAATTCTACTTCCAACCGTAGGCCTTGCGTCATGTTACTAGAAGGCGTACCCCAATTCACCTTGACTTCCAACTTGACTCTTCATCATTGGTTGGTGTTGTATTATTGTTGGTGTATTCTGGCTTCTTTCGTCAATGACTTCCATATAGGTATAACCAGAGCTCCGACTTTGTTCCTTTATATGTACAAGATTAGCTCGCCTGCCTCTATGAAATTACCTTCTTTAGCTAGTTGTTCCACAGTGCCAGAGGTGCTTCTTGTTTAGGTAAGGCCAATCCTTTACCACAGCCCTTTCACATGTTCACCACTTCTCTCACCATTCCAGTTTCGGTAGTATTGTATCACTCTCTCAAGCAAGTACCCAGCACTATTTCTAAATTAGGACTAATGCGCATGATTCGTTGATCATCCTTCCAAGCAAGTACTCCACAAGTTGGATGCAAGGATGTTGGTGTTGCCTAATATAGAGGTGAAGGGATGTTGGTGTTGCCTCTAAGTCACCTCAACCAGAGGACTAACACATGCGATCTTCTACAGCCTAGACCTTCTGTGACGCCACTGTCACACATGATGCCTTCACTCTATGATCAGGATTCTTTCTGGGAATTCCTATTCCAAAATCGTACTTGCACTTGAACTTTTCACAAGGCTTCGCATCCGATTATGGCTCCATTTTAAAGTTACAGTAACAAATTCGAAAATTTGCCACCAGCCCGACTCGAACCGTCAACCTTGTCTGTGGGGTTTGGGAGCTTAACCAGTAAGCTACAGGGCCCAAATCCATCAAATCAAAATTTATCATGATATAATAAATAAAACGTGATATAGATGTGTATAACAATCAATCAGAACTTTAAAGGCAGAACAAATGTCAGTTACACATAATAGTTATTTCCTGGGTAATTGAGTATAAGCAGAAATGAAACTTCTGCTTATACATATAGTGCCTAGGGTATAATGATATATAACCCTGTGATCTTAATATAGTGATCAGGGTATATGTGGTTCAATTAGCCAATCATCACTTTAATGTATGCAGATGTAGAGATTTAATAGTATTGGTATAGACATAATACCTATAAGCACAAGCTAGTTCAAACTTTAAAGGTCTTCCTAATTTATTATTGAACTTAAAACCTTTCTGATCTTTTATTGCGATATAACAGAATTATGGCAACAACAGTATTACACTACAGTTTGTGGTTTTATATCAAATGTTACGACAAGTATTATAACCATGCTAATCTTATAAATGGAAATTAACATCAACCTATATATTAAATGATATATACTATCACATTGACCAATCTAATACACTATTGAAGATGACTATAAACTATACCCTTCATTTCACTTCTTTGAAACTCTATTCTTAGTATCAAATATTACTCTAATATATAGACTATTTTGTGTAATATTTTAAGATATTTTTCAATTAAATTGATCAATTTGTTTATTATTTATATAAAAAATTTTATATAAAGTAAAAGGGATATTATGACACAGATAAGTTTTACAACCGATATTTCATAATCTATTGATTAGAATCGAATAATTTTGGTATCAATCGATTCGTCTTATCAAGGCGAATCGAATGATACCAAAAATGTTTGATTCTAATTATTAGATCACGGGATATTACAAATTAAAATAAAGACTAAAAAATTAATAAATATGGCACAGGAATCAATTATGCTGCACATGTGATATCTAGTGATCTAGTAACCAAAATCAAATGATTTTGGTACCATTCGATTCATCTCATTGAGACAAATTAAATGGTATCATAATCGTTCGATTCTGATTGTTAGATCACAAGATACAGGTAATTAAGTGTTAAATTTAAAAAACTAAAAAAAAATAAATTTATATACAATCAGAAAATTTTTTACTAAGTAAATCGATATTCATTATTAAGACAGGTTTGTTTACTGTAAAAAAGTCTACTTAGTTCTGAATTTTTATAAAAATCTAATAATTTTTTATTAATTGATTTTTATAAAATACGTTTCTATACTAAAGAAATATATTATAACGCAAAAACATTTTTACAAATATCAATTAATAAAAAATTGTTTGCTTTTTATGAAAATTTAAAGATATATAGAATTTATTATTGTATACAAAAGTGTTTTAATATTTAAGATCAATATACTTAATAAAAAATTCTGTTATTTATATGTTATGATTATTTCTTATTAAAATTTATAAATAAAAAAATTTGTTTATTTTATTTAAACAATGATATCTTGTGATCCAGCAATTAGAATCAGATGTTTTTACTACTATTCGATTCATCTCATCAAGACGAATCGAATAGTGGTAAAACCATCTGATTCTAATTGCTGAATCACAAGATATCATGTGTGCGTCATAATTGGTCCTGCGTCATAATACCTCCTTTTACTTTATACAGTTGTCCTCCCATATAATCATACAGTTAGGTATATACCACTCTGGTGATTATAAAGAAGTGTGACTTTACAAAGGTTACCTCTATATAATTACAGCTTATATAAAAAATAAATAGTGTGATTTAATAGAGGTAAAAATAAAAAATATTATTTATTAGAGAAAATTACAGGCACAACATTCATGTGATTTATAGGCATAATACAGCCTGAATTAAAGTTAGAGTTAAGCGTATTTTAGTAATGCTGATCGTTGTTGTGCAAATAAACATGTAAAATATTGTGCCTATAGTGATTTTCTTTAAAAACTAACTTTAGAGCATTATGTATTCTACATATTTTCAATATTATTTGTTGAAATAATTTAGATAACATGCATTAGTGAACTGCATGTTCTGTATCAAAAGAATACGTAATAGGTTTTGTGACTTTTTATAGCACTAATGATAAAAATTACTAAAATAGGAAAGTTCTGTAACAGAATTTTTACCATAGTACTTGTAATAGAAATTATAATAACTCTGACTCAAACTAACTCAATATTAATCACATATAGTAGTTACTAAATTGCAATAATGATAGATAAAATAATATGTATAATATAAAATACCTTGTAAAAAAGACTATATAGAATAATTAATTAGAAGTAAAATAAATTAAACATAAAATAAGGCAAGTTAACTCACTTAATTATGATAAAAAAGATTGAACTAATAAAATTTTATACACAGCCTGAAGTGCATAAAAATCTTGTTCAAAAAATTGTCAACCAATTTCTCAGTATTAAATTAATTAATACTATATAGACCTTTTAAAAATTTGGCTTTTATCATTAGTTGTTTTAATCAAAAAATCATAAGTGCTATGAATTGGCTTTGATAACTGAAAATTTAAAATTGTAATTATATAAAAAATGGAGCAGACATTCTTGAGTTATTTAAAGCAGGTTATATTTTAATAAATAAATTCCAATTAATAAATATATTTAATGAATAAACCTAATTTAAAAAAATATAAAGATAACTAAATAAATGTTCAAAAAATCTTATTTACAATATTTATACTAAGATTTTTTATATGCAACGTTTAGCTATAAATACAATAAAATATTTTAGTAATTTTATTTTTGAATTGCTAAAATACAAATAAAAATTTATATATATACACATATATATATCGCAATGTAACTTAATTATCATAATCCTGTGAACTATCTTGTGGCATAAAAAATTACCAATCGAAGTTTGGCATTTAGATTTATTATATTTTCAGTTTATTAAAGTTAAACATTTCTGAAAAATTTTTAAATCCTCGGCCTTAAAATTAGGATCAGTTTGTTATTTAAAAAAATATATAAATTTATTTAAACCTGTTAATCCTTCTGATATTAAAATTTCTGGTTCTTCTTCATCTGAATCATCAGGATCTCCATGTTCAAATTGATTTGCTTCATCTAATACAACTTCGATAATTTCAGAATCATTAAGCTTTTTCTCAGTTAAGATATGCAAGTTATTGAGATCTAAATATACATTTAATTGATTTTTAATTTTCAGATTTGGATCTTGAGAAGTTAAATCTACTACTAATGTACTGATATTCTGTTCTTGCTGCTCTAATACTATATTTTGAATACAAGTGGCAAGTTCAATTTCTTCATGAGAAACTAACAGCAAAATTTTAGTTTTATTCAAACAATTAATGATCATGAATTTTCAATAGCATCTCATGACTCAGATATGTAGTAAATAGCATATTTAATATTTATTTTATTTCTATATAATTAAAAATTAAAAATTAAAATATAATTAGAGATAAAATTTATTATATAAGTGCTACAAGAGAAGATCTGTACTGTATCATTATGAAATAATGCCTTAAAGCATTATTTTGAAACAATAATTTTTAAATGAGTTAATAATTAATTTTGTCAAAGATTTTTTTTAAACTTTAATATTTATTTAATAGCAAAGTTTAAAAAAACTCTTCAGCAAAATTAATTATTAACTTGTTTCAAAATTTTTGTTTCGAAAATAATGCTCTGAGGTATTATTTCACAACAATATGGTAATCAGATTTTTAATTATATTTTGTACTAGCCAAAATCTATATAATTTATTAAAGAATATATTTAATACAAAATATAATTAAAGGCCCGATAACAGATTTTCCTTTAGTAGCAATTATAAAATTAAAGCTTAAATTCTTTATTTAACTTTTTAAATCTTCATTATTTTCAAGCTGCATTAATATATATTAAACATATCTTTGCTTATACTTAGATTTGAAACTCTTAATAATATTCACATCCATTGGCTAAAGGTGGGAGGTTGTATTTGGAGGCAAAAATTCAAGTTTAATGTTAGTTAATTGTATATTAGAATAATCAGATATAGAGCATAGATGACTATAACTACTGCTATAACAGCCCATACTACTATCAGTACTATGATCTTTATGACTACTATGACTACCACAACTATCATAATTATCACAATTATCATAGTTATCACAGCTATTATTTAAACCTTGATTGGTTTTGATTAATCTTGGTCTACTATGACCTTGACGATTTTCACATATAGAGGTTGAAATTTTAGATTCTAAATCATTATCAAATATTTCTTCTTCAGAATTAATATTTGATTCATCTGATTCATATAATTCATCAATATTAGCAATATTAGATTGGTTATAAAAATGTGAAAAGGCATTATCCACTAATAACAAGACTTGACAATTTTGAATACGAAATTTTTGGTCTAAATCTTTTAGCTATTCAAAAAATATATCATTTCTCATCCAAGCTCGAGAGTTTGCACGATAAATAATAGGTAAGGTGATAATTAATACGAAAAAGTGTACAAGATAAGATTGATGATCCAATCACTAATGGTTTTAATTTTTCTGTTCCGGTTGCATTACATGCTAACATAATAGTAATTTGTAAATGATCCTAATAAAGTAATTATATAAAAATTGAATTTTTAAAATAATAACAATAATTGTTGCAGCTGATGCTGAAAATAGTTGATGCTGAAATTCAAATTTATTTTGATATGAAAATTTAAAAATTTTTTGAAATGTTCTTGTCTATTTTTTTTTTAGAATTAGGTTAGGATTTAGTGTTAGAATTGATAATTAAAAAGTATATATGAGTTTTAGTAGAGCTTATATTTTCAAATCAAGATTCCAAATTTTAGTATCAGCCGTTTTCAGCATTAGCTGTAACAATAATTTATATTAAACTCACTAGTAAATTTAAAACTTTAATCATATTAAATAATATAATTTGAATACTACTCAAGCTACTATTTGAACTATTATTCAATACTAGCATATAATTTTATAGACATGTATGTCAATGAAATCATATACTAGCATTGGAATGACAGTTCAAATGGTAGCTTGAATGGTAATCGAATCATGTTATTCAATATGTAAAAGTTTTGAATATTACTAATGCTTAATTATAACTATAATAAACTAGCCTTTTTAAAGCCAGGTCTTGATTGCGATGCAAGTGTTTGATCTGGTGCTATGTGAAAAAAAAGCCTTGTTTCATCTGCATTAAACACATTATCTAATGTATATTTTTCAATAAAGTTTTGTAATTTTTTTTTATATTCTGGAAGTAAAGATAATGGTGCACTATTCGCTTCACCATATAATCAAAATTTCTAAGATTGTTATGTTGCTTAACTTTATAAATCCATCTATTTAAAAATTTTAAGACATCATCACTCAAATTTAAAGCTTGTGTGAATATTGTTGCTTTTTCTTTAATCATTAATTCTGTTATAATCATTTCACCACAAGTAACTTGTTTGATCCAGAGCCTCATTGCCTGATCCAATAAAGAAAATTTTACTTGTTTATATCGAAAAGTTATAGAACTCGATTGATTATCCGCAATAGCTAACTATCTTATTTTATTCGTTAAAATTTTAGAAATTGTAGTCCAATCTAAATTTAAATTGTGATCTTGAAAATTAAAGTAGCTTGCAATATCTAGTTGTTTTATATAAGGATGGTTTGACTATATTCACATATTTCTCATTTTAAATAATCACTAATAGCTGTTCTTGTTCTTTTTTGTGACGAACTTGCAGACATTTTACATAATATGTAGGTAAAACCAAATATTCACTTAAAAAGCATATAAACTGAATTGCACTTTCACTTTATTCTATAATCACTTTTATAGAAGTACAATAATATAAATTCGAATCTTATTAATACAGTTACAAAATTTTTTATTCTAAACGTTGCTAAGTGAAAATTAGAAATTTCATTATGAATTAATAATTTAGAGTTTAAACAAATTGTTATTTCTAGTTTTTGCTTGGCATAATATTCTTTAAAGAATAGTGATCACTTCATTAATATCCAATTCAAAGATATTCCAGCTACCAACAAGTGCTTGCTTTATTTACTCTGTCTAAGTCTTTTAATCGATATAGTGAATTAGGATTCAAATTCACATGATTAATAATTATCACAGATCATAATAAAATTAGATTAAAATGAAATATGGGTTTCTATTTAACTTTCTAAAGCCTACCTTTACTTGTTTAATATAAATTCTACTCTAAAACTAACCTTTAACCTTAATCTCTAACACTAAAAAATGAGCTTTAAAAAATTTTATTTTTCAATGGCTTGTCAATTTTATAATCTGATTTCATTTTAATTCGGCATACTAATTATCTTAATCAATGCAGGTTAAATGATGCAATTAGTTATTGCTTGCTAGTAAATGCAGGTTCGTAATCGTCATTTACTATTTTTATTCATGATTAATTTAAATTCCTTTATCATATGAGGCCATCAAAGAAAAAACCTGTTATTAGACTTTTATGTACAGTTAACTGCTATGGAAAATCTATCAGATAATAGAATTTCTATAACAGCTAACTGTATATAAAAGTTCGATAGCAGATTTTTCTTTGATAGCGCCCATATGTGAATGTGTTGATTTATAATACAAAAATTTGGTTTTAAAAACAGCAGACTTGCAAGGAGTTTTGATTATCAATCTTTTGCACAAAGGCTAAAAAAAAATTATACAAATTAATATATAGCACCTCAATCAATAAAGCAAAATATACTGAGAATGTGAAATTTAAATTTAATATTAATTATCAAAGTATTTTTAATTAATTGTGTGTATTATATGTGCAGATCAGGTCTATATCGAAAAAAATGATTTGACCATTATATAACTTAAATGTAGATGTGATTATATAGAAGGAATTTTACTATTAAAAAGTATTTATAAATATAAAAATATGTGTGATAGTGATTATAATCATTTGTGACTATATAGAAGAGTTTTTAATAATAAAAAAAATGATAACCAAAAACTATGTAATTGTATGGAGTTTGTGATTATATGGGAGATGACTATAGGGAAGGATGACTGTATAAAAAAAACCTCTGGGTGGCCAGGTTTAAAAACTTTTTAAATGTTATATAAACCAGTTTATTTTATTTGTATTGCCTAATTTAGTGATTATTATAATTTTTAAATATTATAAAGTGTAAAATATAGATTTAGTCAAAATAACTTAAAAAAAGTCTGATTTTCTCTTTTTTATCAAAATAATGACTCTTTGTAGATATTCTTAAGTATTAATTTATATGTGATTTCTTAATAGGTGATTCTCTAGTCATTTGGTTTAAAATATTTTTTTATATATAAATTTTATTATAAGTACAAATGTGTAGCGCCTCTATCTAAAACTTTTGTTTATTAAATAAATTACTCTTGAGTATATAACAAATGTTGTAGAGGATTAGAGATAATAATAAAAAAAAACTCTTTCTGACGATCTCTCAAAAATTACAAAAAATAACAAAATAGAAGAAACCTACAATAAAAAGTACCTAAATAAAGCCAGAACATAGACAA